AGAGAGAGAGAGAGAGAGAGAGAGAGAGAGAGAGAGAGAGAGAGAAAGAGAGAGAGAAAGAGAACGCTTAAAGTCGAAGTAAATTTGATCTTAAAGAAAGAAAGTGAGAGTTTTAAGCTTCGCTCAAAGTAACGTTGATGTAATCGGGCCTGAAAGGCGCGAATCGCAATGGATTATAACGTGGGTGGTAATTCGCTATAGGATGAATGATAATTTTAAATGCGACGTCACATCGTCTTTCATTTCTTGCGTTCATTACACGCGTTTTTTTTTTTCCCCCCGGAAAAGGAGGAGTCACCAGTATCTTCTGTAAGAAATCTGATCATTAAGCTTGAATTTATCGAAAATAATTTTGTCCCTATTTATGAAAAATATATATATGAAATATTGTTTATTATATGAAATATTATTTAAAAATAATATGTTGTACGCGGAAACCATCGATTTTATTTTGTATCATATATTTAACACGCAAAATATATACACTTGCTTATTTGTTTCACGCATTTACGCGTGTATGAAGAAATACACATCAATGATCAATAAAGAGAGACAGAGAGAAAGAGGGGGGAGAGAGAGAGAGAGAGAGAGAGAGAGAAAGAGAGAAAGAGAGAGTAAAAGAGAGAAAGAGAAATGATAATAAATAATAAATTTTTATGTGTTTAGGCTTACTATCTTTTTTGTAGAGCACGATAGGATGAACATGTACGCGAAGCAAAGAGAGGAAGCACGCGTGCGCAAAACAGAACGCGCGCGCGTATGTGTATGTGTACGTAGATTTGTTCCTACCATAGCTCTTATTCCACAAACGCATTGAGTTGGAGTGAGTAGAAGCTATGATAGGGAGCGTGTTGAAGCATACGATGCGAACAAACCTCCTTAGATAGTACAACAACATCCATAACGTCTATGAACGTTCTATGAATATTTGTACATTTTTAGAACATTCTATGAACGTTTTTAGAAATTCTGTACTGTATGGGTCATGATTGATTGAGAATGAGAGAAAAATAGAGAATGATCATGAATTTTAAAAATAACAGCGAGATAATGAAAAGAAGAAAAAGTAAACAAGAAAATGTAGAAAAAAAGAAGGAGAAGAAAAGATGCAGATAGAAATGTGTGTATTCGCGCGTGCATAATATGTGAGAGGGAGAGAGAAGATGTGACAAGGTAGCAAGAACGGAGATATGATGATGCGATAACGATAGCGGCGGCGATAATGATAATGATAAAATGATGACAATGTGAGTATGCGGCAGCAGGTGATACGGCATGGATTGACCGCAATCCTGGCCGCCTCTCCCATTTCTCAAGAATCGATACGATCCTTTTAGCTATTTACTGTCTTTATTATTGCTATGTGTAAGAAAAATAAAACAAAATGGCGAACGATGTGTCATAAACTGCTGAGATTTTTATCGACAAGACGGTGTGTAAGAGAGAGAGAGAGAGAGAGAGAGAGAGAGAGAGAGAGAGAGAGAGAGAGAGAGAGAGACGCAAAAAAGAATACATCAGCGTATATATAAACATATACATATTACATATACACATTGCCTCATTTACAAATGCATGTGAGAATAAAGAAGATTACACGGCAGATGCATTCGCAGGTATATCGATAGTGGGATTTTTTAAGGGGATCCATCGAATGAGCCTAATACCGATTCATGAGACGTTTGAGTGGAAAACAAGTGTAATAAATGAGTGATGAAATAAAACTTTTTCTTGATTAGTTTGTATATTTATGTAGAAATGGCCTGGTTTTGACATGTGTTTTACAAAAAATATTAATTAATACTTAACGTTTCGCGATTATTAGATATCTTACTGTTTTATATTACATATTAATACAAAATATATTAATATTAAATTCTATAGTTTGATATATACTTATATACAAGACCATATCCTATTTCTTGATAGAGAAAGAAGGAAAGCGTGATGTTCGACTTCTCCATTACCTCGAAGAATGCACGATCGAATTAGCAGAAATTTCCGATTTATGTTTTCGAATGTCTCCAGCGACATTAGACGACTTGGTGCGTAGTATTCGTGACTAGTTGATCGTATCTATTGTCAGAATCACCTAATCGTTTCTAATTCTAATGCTTTTATTCGCTTGCTGCCTCTTATCTTCATTTGCCAGCTTAACGTCGACCTTGTACGTGGTCGTGTCATCTTATCTTTCGAATTTGTGTCCTGCCTCCGCATCCTTTTGAATCGATTTCCAATTATGACCAATAAAGTCAAAGAATAATAGACTGAAACGCAGTGTATGTTTGACATACATGAGATATTTTTTATTGATGACAGATAATCGAAATCGCGATAATGAAAATTCATTTTTGAAAGGAGAAGAAAAAGTAAAAAGATAGAAAAGAGTGAAGAAGATGAAGAGGATTTTTGTTTATCTCTTTTACATCAAAAACAAAAGGATATAGCGACGGTGTACCTGCGAATTCAAGCCGGTGTATTCGCGTTAATTGCGCGTGCGTATTTATCAATGAAGAACACAGGTACACATTCAGAAATTACACACACACACACACACACACACACCACAATTATTACTATTCTACTATTACTATTACTGCTACTATTACTACTATAATTGGATGCTTGTCGATTCGTCAGACCGTCAAGCAGCGGCCCAAACTACTATGTAACGATTTTTATTGATAACAAAGGAAGGAATAAATATTGAAATAATTGTAATAAAAAAGAAAAAAAGACGGCCCAAATGACTTTAATTGTCCAAGTATTGGTATTTATCTTGCTCTTCCGGATTCCATTTCTAATGCCTCTTCATATATTCAATCATTAATCAATCATTAATATTATATACATATTCCTTTCTTCTCGGCAATATACATATACATATTTTTTCTTATCGATATCGATTGACTTCAATTAATTTATTGTTCTTTTTAAAAGCAAAAACAAAATGAGATAAAGATGTCATCTTTATCTTTATCGAATAACTTTAATAAGCTCATAGATTAAGATTTTGACAAAATGAAAATGTAAAACATACATGAAAAGTATATATTATATTTTTTTCTTATCCATTGAATATTGATATTTATTATTGATATACATGGCTTTTTACTTAAAAATTCTTCAAAGAAGAAATGATTTAACGAAAAAATTGTTGATATTGACCTCTTGTTTCTATAACAGATATGCTAATGAAGTATTATTTATATTAATACATTTCTCTAATCGTTATAACAACGTTATGCAACATAGTATTAATAATTTATTTGATATATGAGTAAATGAAGACACAGCGTGTGTCTTATTTTTGCATTTTTTCCCATCTCGAGGTTGGATGCATTTATGTCGAGAAGAAAG